ACAACAACTTACTGATCCCAAACTTTTTGTATGGTAACATATACGACAGAAATTAAGATTAAAATATATTTGGAAAAAATGGCTGAATTTAAATGAGCACAATATTTATCCAAAATTTCCGAAGCATGACTCAATTTATATGACTATTTATATGACTCAATAGAACAATTGAGTCATATAATTTTCAAATGGTTGAAAAGTGCAATTATTAATTTAAAAAAGTGACCTTGTTGATATATTGCTCTATCATTACAGTTAAGTGCGCTCACCTGAAGACATTGATTGTCTTTGCTGATGGCTGTTCCTCTGATTCCTCCATTACCTCCTCATCCTCATCCTCAAAGAACTCCTGGTAGATGTCAGTGGCGTTGTTCTGCTTGCAACAGTGTTCCATGAGCTGCAATGGGCAAAATTGGGCTTGTTTTTCAATAAAGAAATCAAAAACATGTCTTCTGAGATTGAAGTCTCGTCTCATATATTGCTCATATAATACATGATGTTTAACACTTTATGGCACTCACACCAGCAATCTGCATGATGGTGTTCTGATAGTGTTCATCCTTCTCCACTTTCTTCCTGTAGCGGATGGTCGCCTCCATGTCCTCTGGATTGAGATCTTTCGGCCAACCTCCTTCCACATGGTTTACTCCTCGTGACTCTGATTCAAAGCGCTCTGTGTTCACCTGAGCATGACAAGAATTTCATGATAATTCAGTCCATGATGGAAAAGAATTCATATTGTTTTGTTATAGTGTTAATGCTGGTCTCACCTCATGCTCGGACATTTCCTCGGCACACTGAACTGTCACATTACACGGATCTCTCACTGTGAAGTTTGCAGCGAGGGACGTGTCAGGAAGAATGTCCACATGCAGCTCAGCTGGACGGTCGGAAAAGTTACACTGGCGTCCAAACTCACTGCGCTTCTTTGTGTACACATACACAATCTCCATTTTAGCTAAAGGTAAGACATGTTAAAAGAGGATTGTGTAAACAATTCTTGATTAAATATGCATTTTTATACTTTTTTTTTTTTTTTAACATTAAGTTGTAGGTTAAAATGTTTGCTTTCACTAGCTAATTTTAAATTATGAGAAAATCATGCTGGTGACAATTATTGGGTGACAAGTTAATTTATTAAAATACAAGTATTTCATATAACTCCTCAATAAATGATGTAATAAATGTTTCTATAATTATTATACATAGACTTTTTACTTTATTTTATTATTTACTAGTTTTAGAGGAATTATAGTATGTCTGATGAGAAAATCCAACAGGTGACATATTATGGGTGACAACTTAGTTTTTAAAAATACAAATACGCCATATATCCCTTCAATTAATGAGCTCATAAATGTTTCTATAATTATTATACATGGAGTTTTTAAGTTTTTTGTTTCAAATATTTTTTTAGAGGAATTATAATATGTCACGCCCACTTAGTGATGAGAAAATCAAGCGGAAACTCTGAAAACAACATTGTGTGTTGTAAATAATCATTAAAAAACGTTCATAAACGTTTTAACGTTTATATTAAATTACAACACTGACTAAACCTGCCATTACAAAGCCTCTGTTCACAAGACTGTCTGCTTAGTGCTTACTAAACGTCTCGTTCCTGATAAAAACTTAAGTCTGAACCTGCTTCGTTTATGTAGCAGCACCACAGTAACGTTAGTAGCCCTAAAAAACTCCCCCCCTTCTTTCCTGTGAAGAACGTCCAGTCAAACAGCAGCACAACGATATCATTAAGGTCTTCAAAAAACAAAGTATGATTATTATGTAGGCTACATTTAAATGAGCTAGTCAACGGTCGTGCTTATACACATTAAACAGAACATACCAAGGCATGTATAAGTCTATGGCAGGAACCCGTTTGGTGTTAAATGTTTCAAAATAAGACGTGAGTAATCTTACCTGATTTTGTGACGCTTTCTGGGTTTTGATGGTTTTAGTGCTTCAGGTCTGTAGGAGTTTACCGTATCCTAGCAGCGCGGCGCGAGTGACGTCACATTTACAGACATACTTTCACTCTCTTCAAACGAATTAACAAAATATTGCTACTAAATACAAAAAGCAATTAATTGTGCTTAGAGTTGTACATATAGATATATATGCGCTATTTTAGAATGTTACGTTCAAATTAAGCTAACGTTGTTGACTGTTTTACTTCAGGCTTTCTCTTTTTTGCTGATTAGACAACAGCGCCAGTAGAGGGCGCCATATATCAACACATATATCATAGGGCACAATGAGGGAAAAAAAAATATTTTTTCAGGAATTATAAAAGAAATATACGATGGTTAAATTAAGTTTAATTTCAGTTTATTATTTCATTATCATTTATTTAACTTTCAGCAACGCATCCTTGTCAAACATTACTAGGCTACTGACCGCTATGTGACATAAGGTTTTGAGTCAAGACGTTAGGCCTACATAAACGCTTGTTTTATCAATTCATTCAATCATATTCTCTCTCTCACAAACTGAAACCATTATATGATAAATCGTCATATTTCTGCAATGGCTAATAGGATTAATACCTTATGTAGCTATATAATTAAAATAGTAGATCTTAACCATAAAGTAACTATTTCACCGAATTAGTATTATAATAATCAGGTTGGGGCTGATCAGGTTGTCATGTAACTTATACAGTTTATTAACACTGTTGGTCAAAATAATTTTATATTTTTGTACTTTTTTATCAATTCATTCAATCATATTCTCTCTCTCACAAACTGAAACCATTATATGATAAATCGTCATATTTCTGCAATAGCTTTTGGGGCTAATAGGATTAATACCTTATGTAGCTATATAATTAAAATAGTAGATCTTAACCATAAAGTAACTGTTTCACCGAATTAGTATTATAATAATCAGGTTGGGGCTGATCAGGTTGTCATGTAACTTATACAGTTTATTAACACTGTTGGTCAAAATAATTTTATATTTTTGTACTTTCATATTTGTTTAAAGGTTTACATTTTGTTGCAAAGTCCAACATAGTGTTTTATGGCAGCGTTATCAGTGTGACAACACACCCCATATAGTGTAAAAACATGCCCAGCTGGCTAATTGAAGTGCCTATACATAAATGTTACTTTCAAAACTTACAAGTTACACTCAACAGATCTTAATTCAATTCAAAATGGTTTTATTATATTCATGTTTCTGTCCTCTAAGTTAGACAGAAATCAAGCACCACCCTCAGTAGTGTCTGCAACACAGTGCTATTCATGCACCCAAAGTATTAAAATCGGTTTAAAAAAATGTATTAAAAACAGTCTAACTATGCAATAAGCCAAATGGATGCGACCATAAATCTCAAATGAGAACACACTGTGCAAGCATCTGTCCAAGTAGCTGATTTTATCAAACAACATACTGAAAATGGCACACAAGAATGGAGCAAAGAAAGAAATACAAATAATCACACAACACTGGTTATCATACAGGTTATTTACAGCTGGTCAACAGGTTAATACAAAGCATATGCATTTGCATCATGGGAAGAAATTGGCTCAGAGTGCTCTCTAGAGTTGATATGAGAAGATCTGCGATTTTAAGTCGTATAACTCGAACAAGAAACATCACTTGTGGAACAATTTTTGATCACGTTGTGCTTAAAATGCCTCTACATGCATAAAATAAACAGAAAAGCTTTTATTCCCCACTCCCATAGATACACACAAGCGGTCGCTCACTGAAAAAAAATCTATGAAAGGGAAAGAAAACAAAGGCTTTAGAGGCACAAAACATGCTTCCATTCTTGGCACAAAACACATTAAGAAGAGGCTTCACTTCAAAATAAGAAGATGCATTAGTATATGTACAGTTAGCCATCATAAAAAGTGATGACATGTCCATGAAGTCCACACTGCACAGTAGCTAAAAAACGTAAGACACCTTTTCATGAGCAACTGCTTAGAAAAGTACCTAGCAAACCTACTATGATGATGCTAGCAATGCTGTACACCGTGCAGGACTAAATGTCCAATGCACAGAATATTAATACTTCAACCAGTGTCCACACTTATATGTACACAATCTTTAAAATGGCAAATGGGTAACCTTTATAAGGTTATGTACTCCGGTAAGAAAAAATGCTAAATTTCTATGCCCAAAAAACAGTGGTCCCACTATATTTATATTAGTTGTCTTTAACTACAATGTACTTGTGAAAAAAACAATCAATTGTTTGTGTCAGTGTTGTACTTGTTAACTAAAATTAATTAACAATTATTTTCAGTCATTGAAATAAAGGTGAAATGAAATTATAGTAGATAAAAAAAATATTAGAAAAAGGTTTATACTTTATTTTAAGGTGTCCTTGTTACAGTGTAATTATACCTTTAGGTACTGAGTAATATTAATTAACTACATGCACTTACTATATGTGAGACCCTGGACCACAAAACCAGTCTTAAGTTGCACGGGGATATTTGTAGCAATAGCCAAAAATACATTGTATGGGTCAAAATTATAGATTTTTTTAAATGCCAAAAATCATTAGGATATTAAGTAAAGATCATGTTCCATGAAGATATTTTGTAAATTTCCTGCTGTAAATATATTAAAACTTAATTTTTGATTAGTAATATGCATGGCTAAGGACTTCATTTGGACAACTTTAAAGGCGATTTTCTCAATATTTAGATTTTTTTGCACCCGCAGATACCAGATTTTCAAATAGTTGTATCTCGGCCAAATATTGCCCTAACAAACCATACATCAGTGGAAAGCTTATTCAGCTTTCAGATGATGTATAAATCCCAATTTTGAAAAATTGACATTTAAGGCTGGTTTTGTGGTCCAGGGTCACTTATGGTTAGAGTTAGAATTAGGGTTTGTCTTAGGGTTACTTGCATGTAATTATGCATAATTAATTGTTGTTATTATAATAATAAGTACCAGTATAAGTACAATGTAAAGACATGTATGTACACAAAAAGTGCAATGCATCAAATGATTAATTTAAATGTTAGTACGTACTGTAGTAGTTAAAGACACTTAATATAAAGTGGGTCCAAAATAGTTTTTGTTACCCACGTCGAACAGTTTCTGCAGCTGAAAAGGCAATAGGGAAGACCAACAGTCGAAAAATACGGTGTAAACGTACAAATAAAACAGATTATTAGAGAGAGGATATTTCAGCACCTCACAAATGTGTCAGTATTGAGGGAAAAGAAGCGTCGCACCATCAGAATGATTGACAAACACACACATGCATGCCAGCAACCGTACGGACACACACTGAGTGCTCTTAAAATGACGTTCGACTTTCAGACTGTGCTCCTTTAAGATGGGCGCGCACGCATGCTGCCGTGAGAGTTTTCCATGTGTCCTTATTTCCAGCGTGTGAAGACTCACACCATAGGACAACAGATCAGTTCTACGCTCGGAAATCCTCCCCAAAGTGTCTGATCTGGTCTTCGGTCATGGAGAGGTAGGTGGCTCTCATGGTTGGAGAGTACTGTGAAAAACATCCACACAGAAGTCACAAATTGACAATACATACATCGCTAAGAACATTCAAGCAAACAAGAACCATTTTTCAAGAGTGAGATGAAAATGAACTACACTTTTTGTGTTTGGTGTGGACTACAAGTTTGCTGATGACGCCAAGGCTGGTTTTTTTAGCTAGACTGTAAGAAATTGAAAATTCTATAATTCACTCAATCTAAACCTGTATAAAGTTATTAGCTAACAAAAGGGTTTGTAAGGCATGCTAGTGGCCAGACAACACTACAATCTGACAGAAAAATGCTCTTGTAAATGCATTCTGACCTCCTACCAACAGGGGGCGTGCTCTACATAGATCATCTGTGTCTAACATACAACATATGCGGGTATGTCTATGAGGATCCATGCCAGGAGTGAAAAGGGGAAGAAAATCACCCACAAAGAATTTATTCAAACGCATGGGAAAAAACAAGAGATGAATTAAAAAGATCGGAGAACAAAGGGACTGGGACAATAATACTGTAATCATACAGCAACTTACGCGGTTTCTATATGGCTGAGAGTAAAGCTCCAAAAGGAATTTTATTTTTTGGTTAAAATAAGGAAGAAAAATAAGAACAGAAACATACAAACAGAGAAACATACGAACAGACAAAGAAAAACCGTAAAAGAAGCTATTAGCAGAAGACAGTAGAAAGCCACTGGCTATCAAAGGACAAATAGAAGTTTAAGGGTAGAAATAATCATGGCAAGAGTTTGAAGTCAGCATGAAATCAAAATTTAGCCCATTTACTCTGATTTTTGCCATCAAGCCTAATTTTTGTTATTCTTGTGCATAATTCATCTGTGCTCATCATAAGTACTAAGAAAGTACACTACTGTTTAAAAGTGGGAGTTGGGTCTTTTTTTATGTTTTTGAAAGAAGTATAAAGAGGTCAACAAGACTGCATTTATTTAATCAATAATAATAATAATAATAATATAAAGTAATATAAAATTTGAAATATTACAGTAGTGAAGAACAGTAATAGAACAGTAGTGTACATATGGCCAATTTTGATTTCATGTTGACCCTTAAAATGATTGTGAAAAAGGTTCATCTTTGGTATGAATTATTGTCATTGTATCAACATGAGTGTATGTGTGGGTCATGAGAAGTGCTTGGCCTCTGGAGCCCAACGCACCGAAGGAGGAGGAGATCCCCTCCCGATCAGAGGCACGTTCTCATAGCGCGGGTTTCCTCCAAACAGCGCAGACTGGTTCCTGTCAAAACAAGACATGAAAAGCGAAAGTGAGGGTGAGAGTTCAAGACAGAGTGAGAAAGGAAATATTTTAGAAATAATAAAGTAAGTGAACTTTATCTAAGGAATATCATTCAACATCTCCTCTCTATTACATCCAAAATTATTGAATTGCGCTGTCCCACAAAATTCAGGCACATCGATCTGAAAACAGGAAATGACAGAATATGAAAAGGAATGAATCATGTGTAAGGTTGACTCTTACCTATATTCTGACAGGGGTGCGTTGGTCAAAGCCTGTGTTGGAGGGTGCAGGCTGGTCTGGCTGCCCATGCTGCTGCTGTAGCTGCAGAAGCTGTGCATGTTGCCCTGCTGTGAATGGTGGGACGTCATTCGCCGGCTCTGAGGGTTAAACGGGTCCCCGTCATCAATGTCATCGTAATCTCTTTCTCTGTGGAAAGAAAGAGAAGCATTGTTTATACAATTATTTAAAAGTTTGGGGCCGGTAAGATTTTTCTCCTATACTAACCAAGGCTGCATTTATATTACTAAAAATACAGAACAAAGTGCAATTTACAAATATAGCACCATCAGAATTAAAACTACAAGAATTAAAGCGATAGTTGTTCCAAACAGAAGTTTCTTTCATCTGTTGAACATAAAAGACAATATTTTAAAGAATGTGGGTAACCAAACCATTTTGGCACCCACTGAATGCCATAGGATTGTTTCATACTATGGAACTGAATGGGGACCAGCGTCTGTTTGGTTTCTAACATGCTTTAAAATATCTTCTTTTATGCTCAACAGATGAAAGAAACTCTTGCGGGTTTGAAACAACTTGACGGTGTGTAAATGATAACAATTTTCATTTTTGGTTAAACAATCCATTAAAGCATTCAAGCACAACAGAGGAAAAATAAGGAGCTAAGCAAGCATGGCAGGGAGCATCAGACTAATTGAAAAAAAATTTGAAATGAAAGACTATTACAAAACTAAAGCAACTATTAGCAACTAAAGACCTGTTGACGATTTTAAGCAAATTGGTTGAAAACCCATAAATACATATCATGCATCATCGCTGCCACCAAATTGATCTGGTGTGGTTAGATCCAGTTTGGCACCATGCTATCAAATTTGACTATGAGTTATATGAAAATGGTTTCAGAAAGTAATCAAAATAAGGAGCTAAGCAAGCATGGCAGGGAGCATCAGACTAATTGAAAAAAAAATTGAAATGAAAGACTATTACAAAACTAAAGCAACTATTAGCAACTAAAGACCTGTTGACGATTTTAAGCAAATTGGTTGAAAACCCATAAATACATATCATGCATCATCGCTGCCACCAAATTGATCTGGTGTGGTTAGATCCAGTTTGGCACCATGCTATCAAATTTGACTATGAGTTATATGAAAATGGTTTCAGAAAGTAATGTAAGCATATTTGTACACTGTGTTATCTCTGGTCGTGACCACTACATGGTGCCGGCCCAAATCTCCATAGATTGCTTCAGGTTATGGTTGTAAAGACACAAGTCAAGTTTCATAATAATATGCCAGTGCATTTGTAAAATGCAGCATTTCACAACAAAATTCACAATGGCAGATGCTCAAAACAGCCAACATACTGTATGAAAACTATGTACAGCGTGACTCATCATGCCACACAGAATCTAAACAATCTCTTGAATCTTGGTCAAACTGTTCAGATTCAGAATTATTGTTAATATATGTTCAGAATTATTAGCAAACATAGCAGTTTTTCAGATCTTTTGACTAGTAGGTAGTGCTGTACCGAAACTCTGCAAGCACCCTCAGGGCAAGCTTGTAATGACAGGTACCAGGTTTCGGCATGCTTTCTTCATGCAAAGGCTTTAACAGACCTGTCTGTAATTCTCAACTGACTCCCAAAGAACTTAGTTTATGGATGTTTGATTAGAGTTAAGTGCACTATAGTCAATGTGAGTGATCTTAATGCATTCTGTGTGTGTGTGTGTGTGTACTGTACCTGTTGGCAATCTGTCGCCACGCTCTCGGGATGGCACACAGCATGACAGAGAAGGCACAGGCCGCCAGCAGAGAGAACAGACAGAGATACAGCAACCCCTCCACGCCATCATAACACACACCTATCAGAGCGTCCAGGTAGTCCTGCAAACACACACACCCCACAAGAGATTTAGATGCATTTTACTAATTGCTAAAATCTCACTAATCTCGCAGCATCACATTAGACAGAAGCAGGTGGAACATTATGTGTGCGCAGTACCTTATTGAGTCCTCGGCAGTCTAGAAGTGCAGTGAGCTGATGTAAACTGGCCTCTGAATTATTCAATAAATGCTGAATACTCAGTAAATCCCTCTGAAAAGAACCACACACAATTGCTATGAAAAAAACTATAATTAAAAAAATACACTTTAAATACAATACAATAAAATGCATTTATTCACACAGCTATTTTTACAGAAAGAAGTGAAATAGCATACTATATATTCAAATTTTTCATTACATTTTACATTCAATTTCCATTATATTACAATAAATATAATATTATAGTACATAACATTTTGTCTAATTAAAATGAATAATTTTACATTACAATAATAAGAATATAAAACAATGTGTGCTAGATTGCCGTAAAAATGTCATAAGTTATATATATATAGAGAGAGAATTTTGCACATATATATGCGAAATTAAGTCAATATTATTACGTTTAAATTCATTTTAAATATGCAATGTAAGCCATTTGGATAAAAGCATCTGCTAAATGCATAAATATAAACGATTTAATGGAAAAGGCTTTTACTACAGACTATACCGAATAGAGCACAAAGTATTAAAGTGAATGCATAAGTCTATCTCAAACTGTATAGTGCACACTCACCTCAGCTGTGGGGAACAGAGGCACTGCAAACTGCAGGAGACCTTGGATCTGGATCTGCATGGTGGTCAGTGATCTCTGGAAGACAGTCAGGGACTGCAAAACAAACTAATTCAGGATCAGTTTGTTTTGTTTAAGGGCTAACAAACACAATATCCACAGTTTACACATCACAGATTCTGTTCATCAAGAAAGGGACTCGTGTGCAGTTCCACTCTCAACCAGCAGAGAGAGAAACTGCACCATCCACAGATAAACACACCTGGTAACACTGACGGTCTCAAATCTATATAAATGACCATATCAGAAAGGAAGAAAAACTCTATTACATCCAAAATTATTGAATTGCGCTGTCCCACAAAATTCAGGCACATCGATCTGAAAACAGGAAATGACAGAATATGAAAAGGAATGAATCATGTGTAAGGTTGACTCTTACCTATATTCTGACAGGGGTGCGTTGGTCAAAGCCTGTGTTGGAGGGTGCAGGCTGGTCTGGCTGCCCATGCTGCTGCTGTAGCTGCAGAAGCTGTGCATGTTGCCCTGCTGTGAATGGTGGGACGTCATTCGCCGGCTCTGAGGGTTAAACGGGTCCCCGTCATCAATGTCATCGTAATCTCTTTCTCTGTGGAAAGAAAGAGAAGCATTGTTTATACAATTATTTAAAAGTTTGGGGCCGGTAAGATTTTTCTCCTATACTAACCAAGGCTGCATTTATATTACTAAAAATACAGAACAAAGTGCAATTTACAAATATAGCACCATCAGAATTAAAACTACAAGAATTAAAGCGATAGTTGTTCCAAACAGAAGTTTCTTTCATCTGTTGAACATAAAAGACAATATTTTAAAGAATGTGGGTAACCAAACCATTTTGGCACCCACTGAATGCCATAGGATTGTTTCATACTATGGAACTGAATGGGGACCAGCGTCTGTTTGGTTTCTAACATGCTTTAAAATATCTTCTTTTATGCTCAACAGATGAAAGAAACTCTTGCGGGTTTGAAACAACTTGACGGTGTGTAAATGATAACAATTTTCATTTTTGGTTAAACAATCCATTAAAGCATTCAAGCACAACAGAGGCAAAATAAGGAGCTAAGCAAGCATGGCAGGGAGCATCAGACTAATTGAAAAAAAAATTGAAATGAAAGACTATTACAAAACTAAAGCAACTATTAGCAACTAAAGACCTGTTGACGATTTTAAGCAAATTGGTTGAAAACCCATAAATACATATCATGCATCATCGCTGCCACCAAATTGATCTGGTGTGGTTAGATCCAGTTTGGCACCATGCTATCAAATTTGACTATGAGTTATATGAAAATGGTTTCAGAAAGTAATGTAAGCATATTTGTACACTGTTATCTCTGGTCGTGACCACTACATGGTGCCGGCCCAAATCTCCATAGATTGCTTCCATAGATAGGTTATGGTTGTAAAGACACAAGTCAAGTTTCATAATAATATGCCAGTGCATTTGTAAAATGCAGCATTTCACAACAAAATTCACAATGGCAGATGCTCAAAACAGCCAACATACTGTATGAAAACTATGTACAGCGTGACTCATCATGCCACACAGAATCTAAACAATCTCTTGAATCTTGGTCAAACTGTTCAGATTCAGAATTATTGTTAATATATGTTCAGAATTATTAGCAAACATAGCAGTTTTTCAGATCTTTTGACTAGTAGGTAGTGCTGTACCGAAACTCTGCAAGCACCCTCAGGGCAAGCTTGTAATGACAGGTACCAGGTTTCGGCATGCTTTCTTCATGCAAAGGCTTTAACAGACCTGTCTGTAATTCTCAACTGACTCCCAAAGAACTTAGTTTATGGATGTTTGATTAGAGTTAAGCGCACTATAGTCAATGTGAGTGATCTTAATGCATTCTGTGTGTGTGTGTGTGTGTACTGTACCTGTTGGCAATCTGTCGCCACGCTCTCGGGATGGCACACAGCATGACAGAGAAGGCACAGGCCGCCAGGAGAGAGAACAGACAGAGATACAGTAACCCCTCCACGCCATCATAACACACACCTATCAGAGCATCCAGGTAGTCCTGCAAACACACACACCCCACAAGAGATTTAGATGCATTTTACTAATTGCTAAAATCTCACTAATCTCGCAGCATCACATTAGACAGAAGCAGGTGGAACATTATGTGTGCGCAGTACCTTATTGAGTCCTCGGCAGTCTAGAAGTGCAGTGAGCTGATGTAAACTGGCCTCTGAATTATTCAGTAAATGCTGAATACTCAGTAAATCCCTCTGAAAAGAACCACACACAATTGCTATGAAAAAAACTATAATTAAAAAAATACACTTTAAATACAATACAATAAAATGCATTTATTCACACAGCTATTTTTACAGAAAGAAGTGAAATAGCATACTATATATTCAAATTTTTCATTACATTTTACATTCAATTTCCATTATATTACAATAAATATAATATTATAGTACATAACATTTTGTCTAATTAAAATGAATAATTTTACATTACAATAATAAGAATATAAAACAATGTGTGCTAGATTGCCGTAAAAATGTCATAAGTTATATATATATAGAGAGAGAATTTTGCACATATATATGCGAAATTAAGTCAATATTATTACGTTTAAATTCATTTTAAATATGCAATGTAAGCCATTTGGATAAAAGCATCTGCTAAATGCATAAATATAAACGATTTAATGGAAAAGGCTTTTACTACAGACTATACCGAATAGAGCACAAAGTATTAAAGTGAATGCATAAGTCTATCTCAAACTGTATAGTGCACACTCACCTCAGCTGTGGGGAACAGAGGCACTGCAAACTGCAGGAGACCTTGGATCTGGATCTGCATGGTGGTCAGTGATCTCTGGAAGACAGTCAGGGACTGCAAAACAAACTAATTCAGGATCAGTTTGTTTTGTTTAAGGGCTAACAAACACAATATCCACAGTTTACACATCACAGATTCTGTTCATCAAGAAAGGGACTCGTGTGCAGTTCCACTCTCAACCAGCAGAGAGAGAAACTGCACCATCCACAGATAAACACACCTGGTAACACTGACGGTCTCAAATCTATATAAATGACCATATCAGAAAGGAAGAAAAACATCCACAAAAATAAATTAATATAAAATTCGTAAGAAAAACAGAAACAAAAAGAAATAAATAAAAGAAAAAAAGAAAAGAAAGAAAAGAAAAACATTGTGTCTGGAGACATGGGTTTTGTTAGTATATTCTAGGGATGATATTGTTTATATTATAAATAATAATGTGATTTTTTTTAGTGATAAATATGATATCCTTATTTAATCAGGCTTTAGATGTGCTTATGGAAAACACACACACACACACACACACACACACACACACACACACACCCCCCTTGATTCTGTGATGGAATATGACCTAGGCTTTTGTTTGCAAGATTCACCAGCAAGTGGAACAGCAGATAATCAAATATAAAACCTGATTAAATTAATCCACTTTGTTTGTACAATTTTCACCCTCTTGTCTTGATTTGAGAGTGAATTAATTCACTGTGGAAATGTAGCTCTATCCCAGACCGCACATGAAAAGTGAGGTAAGAAACGGATAATGAAAAAGCAAAAAACTACTCGACTAAAACACAAAATGAGTGACAGAATGGGAGGTTTAGAGACTGTGAGTCTGAATAAACCGAGATTAGAAATTAAAGATGAGACCAAGAAAAGAACATGAGAAGGGAATATGATAAAAAAGACATCCATCTCATTACAAGAATAATGTCATGCATTAAAAATGCTGAAGATGCTCTTTACAGATTGATATTTTGTGTGTGAGAGAGATTGAGTGAGTAAAGGACATGCGACCGATCTCTTGTTTGGAACATCTTTGCTTCTCTATCTTTGTGACAACTCTATTGATCTGAGAGAGATGTCTACAGTTTCTCTGTTATAGCAAGTCAAACTGAACTGCAGCAATCTGAGATATAGGACACTGGCCTTTTACTGCCTGACCTAAAAACCCTGAGAGATGCAGTGAGACAGGAGAAGTGAGGGAGAAAGACATAGAGTCAGGAAAAGAGTAAAGGAGGTGGAGAGAGGGAGATTGAAAAGTCAGTCGCAGTAACTGATAGCTAGATTTGAGAATTGAGAACAGATTCAAAGTGGACGTTTTAAAACCTACTGAACTATGTAAAATATGTAAAGAGCATTTCAATGCAGTCTATATACAGAGAAGACAATCTCATAATGCATTGTGACGGGACAAGTAAATGAACTCATCCTAGATGGAAGATAAAGTGAGAGATTTTTTTTATTTTATTACAAATGTACTTATAATTAATAAATTAATTAAGAATAGAAAAGTATTGCTAAAAATGGTTTAATCTAATTTCAAAATGAGTATTTTACATATTTTACCCAATGTTTGTTTGTTTTATGCATGTTTATGCATAAATCCCAAATTAGTCACTTACGAGGTTTCATTTAAGTTAGGATGCTGTTAGTGAATCAATAACGTCATGAAATACAAATGATCAATTGTGAGCTTGCAGTCTGAAAAGAATGTGATGAGAAACAATAATACAAAGAAAATAAATACACATCTTTATATTGCATTGCTCTTGCTGACATACAAATATATAGCAAAATAAAAAAACTTTTACGAACCCCTTATTTTATTGAATCGATCAAAAATTGTAAATTCAGTTTAAAAAAAAATAGTTATTATACTGAACAAAATTATAAACGCAACACTTTTGTTTTTGCCCCCATTTTTCATGAGCTGAACTCAAAGATCTGAGACTTTTTCTATGTACACAAAAGGCCTATTTCTCTCAAATATTGTTCACAAATCTGTCTAAACCTGTGTTAGTGAGCACTTCTCCTTTGCCGAGATAATCCATCCACCTCACAGGTGTGGCATATCAAGATGCTGATTAGACAGCATGATTATTGCACAGGTGTGCCTTAGGCTGGCCACAATAAAAGGCAAAAACAAAAGTGTTGCATTTATAATTTTGTTCAGTGTAGCTATTTTAAGCAGTGTAATGACTCACTCAATATATATTTGACTTAAAATCTTTTTCTTTCTCTAAATTACAAAAAGAACTGTTAGAATTCAGTATCAAGTAAAATGAAAAAGATACATTATGAATTGTGAGGTTGCAGTTTGAAAGAAATGGGATGAGAAAATAATACAAAAGACAATAAATAAACATTCCCCTACTACATTGCCCTTGCTGATCTACAAACATTAAATGTAACCATCATAAACCAAGTTGTGAACAAACAACTCCTATGAACTGCTTCTTTTTAACAAATTGTTCATAAAGACTCCCTAATGGTGCAATGACTCACTTATGGTTCTTTGATAAAAAATAAACAAATAAATAAATCTTGCTTTCTCTAAAGAACTAAAATAAATCAGTATTAAGTAGGGTGACCATATTTTAGTTTTTCAAAACAAGAACAGTAGGGGGCGGGGTTCGTGGGCGGGGCTTTGCCTAACAGTATACCTAGCAAGTTTTTTTTTTTGTTTGTTTGCTTATTTTGTTTTTATAATAAATAAAAAGAAAACAAGTAGAAAGAATAGAAAAAGAATAGATAATGCATGTGTTAGAAGGTCATTATTTATAATAAATAAAGAAAATAATTAGAAAGAATAGAGAAAGAATAGAGAATGCTAGTGTTAAAACAAGTATTTAGAATAGAAATAGAATAGAGAGTGCAAATGTTAGAGGGTCAAGTTTTTTATTAAAAAAAAAAACGAGATAAAATTAGAAGTAGCATTATAATAGAGAGTGCTAGAGTTAGAGGGTCAAATGAAGATGAAAGATATGTGTTTTCAGCTGTTTCTTGAAAATATTAAAGACTCAGCTGCTTGGATTGAGTTGGGCAGGTCATTCCACCAGGAGGGAACAGTTAATGTAGAAGTCCATGAAAGTTTTATCATAGGAAGAATGCAAAATTTTTCAATACAAGCATTTCAGTCAAATGTAATTTATGCAATATTTCAAACCTTTATCCAACTTGGGAAAATCAACCCATGTCAACAGTTTAAAAGTAGCCCAATTCTGTGGAAAACACGCGGACTTGGCAACCCTGCATCCAACAAGAGCTGCAGGAGTCAGCTTTGACTGATCACAGGTCGAGAATAAGGAGAGATGACTGACAAGACCAAGCAAAAGTATTTGCTGCTCAACAGATCCTGAACTCATTGACAAATATCTGATCTTGTAAGACGTGCTCCCTTTACACAGAGTGCGTGTGATTGCGAAATCGAAAGTGAAAGTAAACAGCGCAAATGCTCATTCAAAATCAAAAATATACACCGCATCCTGAGAGCGGCTCCCTAATGCGCCAAAATACACAATATTAGAATGTTTAAAAGAGTGGACACGAAAATCGCGGGAGCGAAGCACATTTTGCAGGAGCAGGTGGCAATGGTCAGAGATTCAGCGGGAGCGAGATTAAGAAAACAGCCAAATCCCGGACATTTTGGGC